TATCTATCTTTCTACTATTATTTCAGCTTCATGTCCATATAGGCTGTGATTGCTTTATATGTCTCTGTGACTTTCTTTCCTACTTTATTCCTTATATATTTGACTGTTTTTTTTGTGAACACTGCCTTTGTTATTAGTGTTCTTGTATATTCTGAGTTGATGACTCTGTGTCTCAAATATTGTTCTTCTTTTTATTTTCTTTTTCTTGCCCTAGCATTGCTTTCTTATTTGACAATTTTATGGTATTCATTGGTTAAAAGTTCTTCATTAAGCATTCTATATCAGAAGTTTTTGCTTATATAATCTTTTTATCTGTTTTGTTACTTGTGATCGGTGTTGGTTATTGTACTTTATATGTTGTTTTCCAATCTATTTCATTTTTTCTATTATCTATCCATGCCATGTGTCTATTTTGACTTAGCCATTTTGCTAGCCACAATTTACTTTGTTATCTTTTATGAAATCCACATCTTTTATTGAAATATATGCTTTTAATACATGAAGATATATAGTATAACAATTAAATACTATAGTTTATTGTATTTATGCTTGCTAAATCCTCCTATCAAACTTTTTAAGGCAGTGCCACATATACCTAACAAGTATTATACATATATATTTATAGTTAACTTATCTATATATGACTAGCTATATATCACTAACTTAATGCTATGTATAAATACTATTTAAACTTCTGTTTTTGAAAAGATACACAAATTCATCTTAATTTTTTCCAGAACAATTTTATTCTTAAGAGTAGTCTAGTTATTCGGTTGTCAATTTCAGTATTCTGAATCCTAGTTTTCAGTCCTTTGGAGTGATTCACGATTTTCACCTTCCATCAAGACCTCCCAATAGTAAAGTCTACGAAAGCTGGCATAACCAAGTGCTTGATTAGTATTCTTTAATACAACTGTCAGGAATCCTTTAGTGGCACTCTACTGATTTGAAATCTACTTTTCTTATTACCACTTCTGGCAACATGATAATGTCAGAAATAATCCTAGCTGATTTTAGACAATGATCATATTACAATTCTTTTATAGACCAGTTTTTCTATAATTGGAAACATCAGTTATTTGGTTATGCCAATGATATACAAGTTCTTACATTATTTGGGGAATCACATTAGCTCCCTAGTGGATTTGAATCTGGAACCTGTGATACAAACTATATATATGGCATAAATTATTTTGTTGTTGACTTAATTCCCAAAATCCTCAAAAATAATTTTGTCAAATAATTGCATCAATTGCATCAAGAATCTACAAATTTCAGCAAAATGTATAATATAGACCTATAGTGTTCTAATTACTGAGCTATAAATCCATAGGTATTTAATCTTAATTATCTTTTTAATAAAATATATTTATTATTAAAATATCAATTATTAAATTAATATAAAAAATAAATAACTTAATATTAAGTTAAAAAAATTTTTTTTAAAGTTTTATTAATCAATAATTAATTAATTAATTAATTTTTTTTTATACTTCAAATTAAACTGCACATCTATTAGTTTATTAATTCAATTTGCGAAAAGACAATTATACATTTTTATTGAAATATTATAATAAAGTCAAACTATTGTTTATTTATATAGCACACCTATTGTAAGCCTATAGTTTTTAGATGTAATAATGAAAAATAAAAGGATTGCTTAATTTTATTTTGATACTTCCACCAATTTAAAACATCATAACCAGCTCTCATTTAGGATTGTCACTTCTATATTACTGCTATGGTTCTATGAAGGTAAAAATTTTTATTTTTTAAGAAATTTAAAAGTGAAAAAAGAAAAGAAAAAGGAAAAAATTATACTGATAAAACAAAAACTCTTTTTGACTACTATCTAGTTTAATCATCTGCAGCTGAAAAACCATTTAATTTTTGCTATTCTATTGTTAACCAAGAACATTTAAGGATATTTTCAGGAGAGTATTTCTTGAAACTTTATATTCAAAGACTTCTAACTTTTAGAGAAGGTTGGTATTTCAATTGGCAATTTTTTTTCCAGCCTATTTTTCAAGGATTTATAACTTTATTTAACTAATAGATAGTTTTAAGACCTTTTTCTTCAACTATTTTCAAGATAATCAACAATAGAGCTAACTTATTACTAGATTGAAATAAGACTTTTTTTTAATCTTAAGAAGAAATGAAACCAGTTCAAGAGGGGAAGAAGAAAATATCAAATCACTTTTTAACAAAAAAAACATTTCATTACCTTGCTCTTTTTACTGTATTCAATAATATCATCAGATTTTATGTTGTATGAGATAGGACATGTAGGAGTTATATATCTTGTTTATATTTCTTGCTATATATAGATTAACTAATCCAAAATTTGAGCCAATTATTATTTAGAAATTTTGATATAATCAAAAATTCAAGATAGATAAAATTCTTCAAAAAAAAGTATACATACTTAAAAAGGTAAAAAGAAATTTGAGAAAAATAAAAGAAGAGTTCTAAAAGTTAATAATAATTTTCTCTAAAGTCTTGAATCTCTGAAAAAAAGAAAAATAATGTTTTTTTAATAAAATATTTTTGCCTTTGACTTAATAGGTGAATTTTTTTTGTATTTACTTATTGAAATACAGAAAGTTTATATCAAAAAGAAAAAAAAACAAAAGGAGTAAGGTTAGAGCCTCTATATATTAATGTTGTTAAAGAAAGTGTATGGATTTTGTTACAAAGAAATATAAAATTTCTTTGGAATATCTGTTTTTTGAGTTAACAAAAGGATTAACAGAAAGAGTATAACTTGAGTTTTTTTAATTAAACTTTTAAAATTGATATATATATACTGTATACATGTGGCGTAAATTATTTTGCTGTTGACTCAATTCCCAAAATCCTCAAAAATAATTGCGTCATGACTCAATTATTTATATGTTTTAATAGTGACTCAATTAATTGTATCAAATAATTGCGTCAATTGTGTCAAGAATCTACAAATTTCAGCAACATGTATAATATACTGTATATAGTAAAATTTAAAAATAACAATTTTTTATTTAATATATCTATTATTAATTTTTTATTTATAATAATTAAGATTACTTAATTCAAATTTTTAAGTTTTAATTAAAAAATAAATAATTGGTAATTTTTTTTAAAAAAATTTTTTATTTTTGATAGTAATAAAGAAAGGAAAAAAGTTTTTTTAAAGAAAAAAATAATATAAGAATTCTAAACTTGTTTTATTAAAAATTTTTTAAAAAGAAAGTTTTTTAAAAAAATTAAAAAAATATAAAAAAAAGTTTATTATTATTAATTTTTTTTTTAATTATAACTTTTTAATACAATTATTTTAAAATTAATATAAAATACAATTATTTTAAATAAAATTTGATTTGATATTTGTAATTTAAACATTTCTACTTGAAATACGTATATTGTTTATTAAAAAATTTTTTTGTTTTTTTCAAATTAACTTTTGAATAAATCTTTTTTTTATTTTATTTAATAAATTTTATATTTTTCTAATTTCTTGTGTTTCATAATACTTTGTTATTGATACTATTTTGCTGAAACATATGAAAATAAGACATTTATATTTTATAAAAGAATATTGAATTATCAACAATAATGTCAATGATAATTCAAAATTCTTTCAGGTAATATTAAAAATTAGCAAAATAATAATTAATATTGTATTTTTTACATATCGTTTATGTTGTATTATAAAAAAAGCATGCAATAAAGCTCAATATAACCTTTACGAATATTTCCTCAGTATCGCTACGCTGTGTCATGGTGTGCAATGACCAAGTTTGCGCAAGAACCACGACCACGGCCTCGACCCAACCCTAATTTGCCTGTATTTTGCACATCAGTGCCATCGATCCTGCGGCAAGACTTTTAAATGTGTTCTATGGATTATCACACGTTCAGGGGATTTTCTTCGGACCATAGTTGTCCAGTTTTAGCAATAGTTGACCGTCCGCTCTTTCCCCGTAATTCTATATAAATCTTGAAACTTATAATAATGTTATTCGAGATTGATATTGTTCGAAACCGAAATTTTAGCTCGCTCTCAAAAAAGAATAACTCAAATAAGTAAGCATATGTCATTTGTGATTATCCGCATTCTTCACGAGAATTTTCACTTTCATGGACTCTCTCGAATATGCATGAAGAGTGTTCACGCTTAATCGTTATTATTCCTTCCCTAAAGTTTTGTGTCATCGAACTTGTTTTATCGATTTTATTTTTTTCCAAAGTTATTTCTCTAAAGAAGTCCTCGCATGGTCAACTAGGACAAATTGATTTTTTTTTTCTACCAATAGAATGTACAGCACATCTTATATTATCGGTAATAAATTATTCGACCAGCACCATGTGACATTCAACCTCCCAGTATTACAATGTTACACGAGTACACACACTGCGGAACCCCAAAGTATGATTACGTACAATGTTTGACTTCTATCTTTTTCTTAAAAAGAAAGATTATGAAACACATTATCATATGATCTATTCGTATTCTCATATGAACGAGTTTTCTTAATCTCTAACCAGATCGATAGTTGAGCACACCTCAACTTTTTTGTCACATCTGAAGACTCCGGTATTTTTTTTTGCACCACATTTCATGGGGATATTTTCGGTTTTTTAGCCAAGGAAAAAAGGTCACGTATGTTACTGAAAAACGGCCAATAGAATATTCTTTTTTGTTCCGTTTGAAAACTTGGTTACACATGAATCAACAAGTTTAAAAATAAAGTATTTTAATCGACAATTTATCAAGCTCGGTTACCACATTCGACAAATTTGTGGAAGGATGACGTGACCATTGTGCGCCATAGATACTAATATGGAAGGTGACACAAGGTCACGGGTAAAATGATTAACATCAAACAATATTTTTTTTATACCGACATATATTTCGTGTATATTTTATTCACATTGTCTAAGAGTTTTTTTTCTTTAACCTCAGTTTCCCGAAAGTTTTCTTGTTTAGTTAGTGATCATTTCAACAACCACCACTTTTAATGGTTCAATCCAGTAATAAGAGGCGAAGGACAGACATGGAACAAGCACCCACTTCACCACCATACGGTGCTCCATATGAATCACATATGGCCCAAGTAGTGGAAAACGGTGCTGATCAGTCGGGAACAAATTATAGAGAAAGCACTGCGACTGCGGAAAGAGATAGTCAAATGCAATTTGTAAGCGTAGGAAACTATTTTGATCTCATTCATATAAACATTTGAACATTGGATTTCAAAATAATTTTTATAGATTTCATTTGATAATGTAACCCTTCAACATTATTCTTTTACATTATTCTATAGAATGCTCAGCAACCTTTTGATCGCAATATGTATATCATCTCAACGGATAATAATTATTTTGGTAACGATAATATAAGTACGTTAGACCATTGAGTCTTCATGAGATTCTGGAGGATCACTAATCGACTCTACCCTTCTCCTTTGATTAGGTCAAGTAATGAATACAGGTCCAAATGGTTCACATCCACAAAATAGCTACGGTAAGATTTTTTCATGAATAACTGGACCGCGAGCCTCTGCTTGACCGTCTAACGATGTGTATGTCATTGTCTATTTTGAAGCCGTAAACCCAAATGCCAGTACCCCTCCTTCTCAACAACTACAAAACAATTATGGTAAATAATCTGTCTAAAGATTGGGCGTCTCCACGTACACCATCTTTAATTATTAAAATAATGCTATTATCTTATTTCTATCATAATTGACAGGTCCGATAATGAATTATACAACTCTTACCCAACCATCGATTAACAATCGTTATTGTAAGTTCGACTTCTTTTATTGTTCCTTGTCGATTTTTATTTTTTGTTTTTATTTTTATTTGTTTTTTTTTCCACCAAGCCAAAAATCTTACATTCATATTTAGTGTTACAATCAGTTCACACCGATGAAATGGACTTGAACTCCCGACAAAGAGGTACCTAACCATCTTGACATCTGTTTCCTCACATTTCGTACGTCAAATCAACTAACTAATGTACCCGTAGATTCAATGGTGAATTATACTCCCGTCGTCAACTCACAGATTGGCGATCGATATAGTAAGTGAAAGTTGTGATGCGATTATTCATCTTACTTCACATGATAATCAATGTTGCACTTGCTATAGTGTTTCCCGCGCATTCGGACGATTCGACCTTGAGTAATCAACAGAGAGGTAACATTTTGGGCAAACGTATTTGTCAAGTTCGGTTCACTATTCGAGAAACCAAACTAATTTATCAAAGAAATCGATGATTGTTTACCTATATGTTAGTGACTTCAACTCGTCAGCGGACGTTGCTTCCTAGTACATCATCCATATCATCGACTAATTCTGGAATAACACAATCGTCACAAGGTATTGGGCAGTCGACACAAAATTACGGGCTGAGTAGTTCATCGAGTCAGGTGGTGTCGACGGCACAGCCTTACATGAGAGGTTCATCATATCAACGGTCCCAGTTATCGAGTCAGTCAAATATTGGACTACCTCCAATAGTAGGTAGCAACGTTGTTCACCAAACAATATATCAGCCAAATAGTCATCACGCATCAATACAACAACCTCCGAACGGAGCTCATGTAGTTGGTACCGAGTTACCGTACGGTCCTTTAAATACAATCCTGGAAGATTTTCAGTATCGTAACAGGTACGCTGAGACATGCAATATGCTGATCAGTCAATTTCGTGATAGTAGAACATTTTCCAAGGAAAACGAAGGACACCTAATGAGATGCCTCGAGGTAGCCATATTTCCATTTTTAAATATATGTCTTTGTTTTTGTAATGAATTTTAATTTTGATTTTTTTTTTTGACGAAAAAGTTTGTGAGGAAAACTGTATTGTTGACAGATCCCACCAGTGCTTTAAGCGTTTCTACGAATTTAAAGCATTTTTATGCGCAAATTCCATCTACATCGTATAGAAGTATGTTAATTTATTCGTATTGCTTGTTTGTTGCTTCAGTTCTATTTATGATTATTCTGATCCCGTATGGTAAATAGAGAAAGTCAAGAAATGGCTTAATGATCTGGAAAAGATCCAACATCAAAATTCACAAGTTGGCTTTCATGGTACGATTCGAACTGGAATATCGAATTCATCAATATCAGACAATATGACGGCTGGGGTGACGCCACGTGTCGGTGATACCGTAGTTCGTACTATGAATAATTCACAGCAACCAGTGAATGTGAATATTAGACCGCAAAACTTTGTTGTTTCTCAGGCATCAGTACCCGTGGCCTATTCGAATCCTCGCCAGAGGATGAGTGCCTATGTCGCTCCACATTTTGATCCGAATTATACCCATAGAGTTATTAATAATGCTTGGGGTCCGGTGATGCTTCCTTATGATACTCATGGTACGCGTACAAGCGCAGTTTACCCTGTCACGAATACTTTTTACGTCTCTCCGGAACAACATTCACGGATTTTGAGGTTTTTAAATTTATTTCCTCGGTGCGATTTTATATTTTTCGCCGTCAGTAACCGAATTTTTATAGGTCATGCATGTCAAAGCCTCAGCCAGATACATCAGAGGATCAATTACCAATCACATACCGTCTGATTTGCCGAAAATCAAATTGTATGAACCACGAGAACATGTGCGATTGGCCTGATGAAAGTATACATGTATTTGAAATAGTCATAAATTCTACGCCGGTGAAATTGCATCGCGTAAGTTCTTTGTCGCATCAATCGAATTTTTTGAATTTATTTGATCTGTGAAACTTAAACGATCGAATGTTCTACGTCACCACAGAAAAGATCCTACTATGATCGAGATAATTACGAACATTATGAGGGAAATGACAGTTCTGTCGAAGTGTCGAACTTGATCGTTGCCGGTATAAACAAAGTTGGAATCAAGCAGTGTTCCTGTGATAGTTGCTACAAGAAGCTGACTGTAGGTTATTTAACTGTTGTCGCTTTTTGTTTGAGTTCACCTATCTCTATATGTTAATGATGAATCGCATCTTAGGATCACGTACTTTCTATCGAAGTGCAACTTCGAGAAACGCGTGATGTGATCTTATATTGGGCTAGATCTCAGCTAATATCAGAAGCCGTCGGAAAAGCGCTTGGTAAGATAGAAATGTTCTTTTATTATTACAACCACAAGACTCTATTAATGACCTTGAATATTGCATTATCCTGGCAGTTCGACAATTGACCAATGTTCACACGTCTTCAGGTGATGACGAACTAATCGTGACAAGCAATCTGACCGTAGACTTGAGGTGTCCATATACTTTTACACGAATCAAAGAACCCGCCCGCGGTCTGAACTGTCGTCACTTATCAGTAAGCATTTTTATTCATTGTCATTGTTGTTACCTCACATGGCATCTCATGTCACTTTTTTTTTTTTTTTTTCTAGTGCTTCGAACTTTGTAACTTTGTTGACGCCGTGTTTAAAAGACTTGAGATGGACAACAAGAGGAAGGAACTATGGAAATGTCCAATCTGCGAGTATGCAGTTTTTTAATTAACCATTTTGAGTTTTTTAGCGTTTGAACTGACAATAATGGTTGTTTCTTTGAACGTAGCAAAAAAATTACTAGCGAAACTTTACGGATTGACTTGCACTTCTTAAAATTATCAGAAAAATTTGACTCGTAAGTCACTTTTTCCCTTTGAATTTAAAATTTCTTATTATAGCAACTTACCCGTGTGCCTCATCTTTCAGAAACGTTACCGTTATATCGCTGACGTCAAACGGGGAGTGGGTAATGCTTGAAAATAATCAGGACGAGGATAGCGAGAATGAGAATGGTAACAATGCGGATAACATAACGACTGCAACGGTACCACATGACAAAGAAGTTATTGTCATCGATGACGATGACGATCAGTCTACGGAAATCATGGTCAAGACCGAGGATGCGGACAATATGGATAAAGAGAATGAAATATTATCTGCTTCCATGATGCAGTCACCACCTTCTTCAGAGACCATGATGACTCCGGTTGAAAAAAATGATTCTACGCCCAATGGAAAAAACATTCACAACATATCCAAGGGAGATTCCATCGCTTCACCTATACAAGAGGGTAGCCCCGAGTGGGTGGATTTAGATGAGGAGATAGTATGCGATTATAATACATTTAGCTATTCAGCATCATGATTAATGGCTAATTAGATTATTCTTCGCTTAATTGTTTATATCATGTACAATATAATAATAAAAAGATTGACTAATAAAAAATGTTTGTATTGTATTTATTGCAATTAAAACTTTGGCAGGTGTTGTATTATTGATATTCACGTACCATACATATAGAAAATGTTATTTATTTTTCTAAAATATACTTAAGTATTTTGCATGCATGTTATTTTCCAAGCCAATTGATATTTTTTTTTTTTTTTTTTTTTTTACACAAATTTTTTGTAATATAGTCTCAATTCTCCCATGTTTCAAATTACCGAAATGTTAATGAACCCATGCCCTTGATAGATGTTCTAACGGTTCGGCCCATGAAAAAGGTGTCCCTCTTTCCCCCAGACAACCTATGAGCCGGAGACAATCTTATATTTGCACTTCAAAATACAAATAAATATTTACCACCCGAAATATTTCAAAACCAACATAATATATCTTTTTCTGTAAATATGTATCAAATTTAATTTATACAAAGCACATATCTTACAAAACAATCCCGAGTTACCAACTGTACCAACTTTTTCTAGCGTTACAACATCTTTTCACATCTTTAATAATTTCCTTCTGCCATGTAGAATTGAATAAGAAACATGCATGATCTAGTTCATGCATCATACGGACGGCCACATTGTTTTTGTTGAGATATTTGTGAACATGTTTTGATGGGACTATATTATCATGTTCAGACAGGTAGACGTAAGTGTTTGTCGGAAGAATGTTCCGTGAAGAAATAAATATGGTCGATTGGAACCAATGGAAATAACGAGAGAAGTAGCGCGAGGTGTATAGTTCGCGTGATGCAAAAAATGTTGTTAGATACTAACGATGAAAAGTTGCAATTAGTTGACGAAGCACCAATTCACCGACAGATATATACTGAATATATTCATACCTCGTTTGCTGCTATTGGATTTCTGTATACAAAGTTATAAGCTACATCAGGATAATGCAGTAAAAATACGATTGGATCTACCAATACCAGACCGCCAACCAGCTTCCTAGCTTCCTTAACAATCCACGCACAAACAGCCGTTCCAAGTGAGTGCGAAACAAATGTTGCCTTTGAGAATCCTCGATCGTTGAGCATAATTTCAATTTCACGAACTGTTTCCTCCATGATCGGAGCATCCTCTGCCAGCTGCATAGCGACACATGGTAATTCGACCAAAAATAATGGACGTTCCAAATTTCGCAACCTTTTCACAAAGCTTACATAAAAGCATAAACCACCCACGCCGTGTATGAATACAATTGGTTTCTGTTGACCCTTCTTGGATAGAGATTCATTGTTGGATTGCGGATTATAGTACCAATATGTAATTTGTGATGGAGAGGAACTAGATTCTTCTTGAATGTCAAACTCAAGGGTGCTCGACCAATAACCGTTCAGTATGCTCTCCTTTGATCCAAACCGTTTGAAACCGTAAAATTTTAATAGTAGGCTAAATGCGTAGTTCATCAAGAAAATTGCCTGTAATGTAAATGATCAAAGATATGTGCAAATACGAATTATTAATAAAGTTCCATTTTTAAAAACAAAAGGTGTCTTTCCGAATGAGGTGATACACACCACATAAACGACGAAAGGTCGGGGTATAGCTTTAACCGGATCCAAGGTGAGTCTTATGCATTCGCATTCAGGGTTACGTCCTTCAGGAAATCTGACCTTCTTCTGAGCTTCAATAGTATTAATTATTTCTTCAAGTTCTATAGAGTATTCCGGATTTTGACGTACTTCCTTCAGTGAAGCCGAAAAGAAACTCCAGGCTAACCTAATTATCGAAAGAACGAACATACACATAAATTGCTGTGATTACATTGGTTCAAACTCATCCATATACGAGAGGTATGAGTACCATTCGGCAAAGTTTTCTCTGTAAATATTGTTAAAAGCGGTTTTCTTGTGACCAACGTTAAACCAGCCTTCAATCCAAGTTTCAAAATTGTCGAGAGTTGCCAGACAATCTTTGAGGAGCTCGGCCCTAACATGTTTGGGAGGAACAACTGGTTGTGAAAGTTTTTGAAATCTCGACCTTGTCACTTCGAAATAAAGGTGAAATACTAATTCAAAACCTAGCCAATAATGCAAGAAGACGAATATCGAAGTGTCTATAATTTCTGACGAGAAGGTATTTGGGAACCACTCAACCAACAATGATTTTCGCTGAGTCACATAGAAGAGATAGTATATAAATGACAAAAATGGTATGGCAAATGACCAAACCCACATCAAAACTCGAATACATATACGTGCTATCAAACTATCTCCAATCATTTTTGAAAGCCTATCGCGTTGTATATAGCAAGGAAGAAAGAAAGATTATCGCTTTCCAATGTATATGAGTCTGGATGTAATGTAAAAAGTGTGGCGAGATAGAAAGAAGGTTGATGATCGACGGCCGGACCAGCAACAGCACAAACAGAATCAAGAAAAAAACAAAACTTATTTATATAACATTTGGGATCATATCTGGATTTTAATACTAATTTATTTAGTTTATTTGCCATTATTACAAATGTCACAATTTTTTTTTAACAAGTCGGCGTATCTGTTGGGTAACCATATGTGGCAATTCATGTGACAAGATAGATTATCTAGCGTCACGGATGTGCATGATGTCATGAGTAGTTTGACTAAAAAAAAGATTGATGTTATCACTGAGATACACAGTACATGGAAAATTATTACTAAAGACGACAAGACAGCTCATTGAATAAACGAATTTGACACTTTGCAGAACAACCCTTCATACTAAACCACTAAACCACGCTAGAAATATGTTTTTACCACTCGGTCCTTTTTTTTTCCATCTATGGGCTTTTCATAGTCCATTTTAGGAAGCCACGTGTCAGGTACTCGATTACAATATAGTTAAGTTACCAAAAGATAGATTGACTGATGACAGGAAGGGCATAAGGCAAAAAGAAAAAAAACCAGAAAAAAATTACCAATAATTCTATATTTGTCAAGGTATTATTTCCACACATAATTAGTTATAGCGATTTACCGCTTAATTTTTCTGTAAATGCAAAATCCAAAAAACGCTATCCCAAATTTATCTAAGAACTTACAATTAAAATAATTGACATTATAACATAATTTTAACGTATAGAATATGTGTTTATATTAATCTAAAATGATAAATTAATAAATAATAAATACGTAATAATAATTTATAATTTATGGATTTATTTATTTATAAACTTTTTTTTTTCTTTGATTTTATATCATAAAAAAATATATTAATTATCAAACGATTATCGTTAAATTTCTTTGTATACTTTGCATACTGTATATTAACAATAAGCTATAAATATTATATTAGTCACAAGACATTTTTCCTTAATAAAAACTAAAATATCATTTTTATAATACAATTTATATTGTGTGTAACGACAACAGGATCAATATGTCCCATGATTGATATTACAATTAATATAATAATTAAATTTGAATAATTATTTAAAATTAAAAGTTATAATAATTAGAAGTAAATTAAAATTATTATTATTAAAAATTTTGATAAAAAAAATTAATTAAGATATTATTTTGAAAAGATACAAATTTATTAATAATATCAAAGTTGAATTTAAATTTTAAATAAAAATTTTTTTTTACTTTAACATATAGATTAATAGTATAGTGAATAATATTTATATATAATAAAATTATATTTTTAGGTTTTAAATTAATATAATTTTTAATAATAATATAATATTTATATTTTAATTAAATAAAAAATTGTAATTAATAAGAAATTGTAATTACTTAATAAGAAATTATAATTAAAAAAATTATAATTAAAAAAAAATTGTAATTAATAAAAATAAAAAATTGTAATTAATAAGAAATTATAATTAAAAAAAAACTTTTTATTATAAATTATTTAAAATTTTCTTTTATAATAACAATTTTAAAACAGTTTTTTTTTTTTTTCCAAGTATCTTCAAATATATATTTTATACTTATTTCTTTTATTATAGAGTTTTTAATATTTTTAACAAATATTAAATAATTTTTTTATACTTTATTTATATTATTTACAATAATTAGAACAGAAAATTTCAAATTTACTTTTTTAACTTAACAATAAATACAATTCAAAAAATAGATTTTTACAAATTTATTTTTATTTCTAATCTTATTAACTATTTCAAACAATTCTTAATTATCAAAAAAAATATATACAGTATAGTGCAAAAGTCTTTGGACTAATTTTAATTTTTAATTTTATTTATAAATCAACAATTAATTGGTAATATATAATAAAAATTTGAATATATATATTTAAAACCCTATAAAATAAGGCTACTTAAGAAAATTTTTTAAATATATTATAACAATATAATTAAATTTTGATTCAAAGTTAAAAGTATGTTTTAAAGC